GACACTCCCGGGGGACGAGGCTTCAACGGCAGTAGTCGAACGGCCTGCAGACGACCCGCGGTGGCAGACATCGCTGCTTCTTGACTCGTCGCCACGCACGTCGTCAGCCTTGAACACGATGGAGTTGCCCTTGATCACGCGAAGTTCCCCTGGTACACGTGATGTTGCCCTGGTACACGATGACGTTGCCCTTGAATACGATGAAGACGCCCTTGATCACGAGAAGACGCCCTGGCACACGTGATGTCGCCCTTGAACACGAGAAGTTGCCCTTGAACGCGAGAAGTTGCCCTTGAACACGGTCGAGTCGTAGCACGCCGGGTGAAACTCTGCCAGCCCTTCTGGGGCGGCCCGATCTCGCCAAAAGAAGTGGGTCTTCATCGCACACGGTCGAGTCACGGTACGTCGGGTGGAACTCCGCCAGCCCGTTCAAAACGTCCGGATCACGCCAAAAAGTGGGTCTTCTTGATGCACACGGGTACGTGGCCCTCCCGGGGGCGGCGTTCAGCATCACGTCCGAGTAGATGTCGACCGGGATCCCACGGGGCACCACATGTCTCGATAGCGTGGGAGAGCAGACATGAAGGGTCACAACATTTATTCGGAGCGTGTCCCCGGTGGGGTGACACCTCGTTGAAGTAAATGAGGACGGAGAAGCCGGGGTCGGAGCGGATGACTGAAGCAATCACAACGAGAATTGGGGGCTTTATATACCAGGGAACACAGGGAAATCAGCATGTAAATGAGGGGAAGGGATGGTTATTGGCTTGGTCTTCCGGTCATTCAGCATGCGCATGCAGTCGTGGGATCGCGACATAGTGGCTGGCGTAGATGGGGATCGAAATGGCCGGCAACAGCGCGCAAATGGCCCATTTATTATTGCGCAGCCCTAAAAGAGGTAGTTCATCCAAAAGTTTGAGTTGACGTTTCAGTTAACATTTAAAACGCCCTTCTGCACATTTGTTATCAAAAAAATGAAGGGAGAATCCTTATCGGCACTGGTCTGTTAGCGGGCGGGGAATTTTAGCGGGGGAACAATTTTTCCCTGTAATCGCTTACGGCCCGATAACGAAATTTATTTATATCCTATCCCAGGACAGGGCGTCCAAAACAAACCCCCACTCGGCATTTGGCCGTCTAATGTCGGATCGGAACCAAATTTTTACCAGCGATGGGGACCCATAAAAACTATTTGCAGCCGAATTTTCTAAGCAAAATATTGTAAAACAACAAAGTTTTCGATAAAAAACAGCTTTTTGGGAAACGCTGGTATCCATTTTTGGCTATTTTTTCGCAGTTAGCATACCGATTTTGAGTAAATTTCCCAAAAATGGTCATTTTCGGGTCGGTCTCGGTCAATTGTGATCTTAAAAAGTGATGAAAAGTCTGAATTTCGACGTCATTTTCGTAAATAAAAAAATTTATGCGGGTGGAAAAAGTGCCCTCTCCATTCACTCTCTCTCCCTCGCCGTCAGATCGAATTTAGAGCTGATCTTTCGCATGGAGATGGGAAATGCTCTTCGTTAAAACGGGTTTTTTGTCTTTGTTTAGCGAACTTCCACCAATTAACGATTTTATAAGCCATAAAGCGGAAAAATCCGTAATAAAAGGTGCTACGAGCCGTGGTTTTCGTGGCATAACTCGAAGCCCTGATTGAATTTCCGGCTGAAATTTGGATCCCGGGTAGAGAGGGGTGTTTTTATTTGGACACCCTGTAATGCGGAAAAATCGTCGCGCAATCGTATACCTTTCAAAAACAGATCGGCGGTCGTTTTCAATGCCGCTTTCTCGGAGTCGTCGATGCAATACCGACACGCGAAAACTGAAAATGAATTCCGCCAAAAGTTGGGAATAAGGACAGGAAGAAGAGAAGTGAAAGAGAGAGAGCGTTAAATGCAAGAAAAGTGGTTGTATTTTCGTCATAGAGCAGTACGGGTTCCGGCTTTGCTCGAATCGTTAAAGGTACACTAACGTCTCGTTGGTTTGGTACCGTACGGTTTGGTTACCGGCCGGTAACCGTCCGCGGGATAGCAAACAGGGTTACGGTAGGCCCAGTGCCCGAATTCCCGCCCGCAAACCTAATTTTTGCACGAGACTTTAGTGTACCTTTAACCCCCCCCGCGACCGCCTGGTATGCCTTATCCGTCCCCATTTAGTATGAAAAATGACAGACCGTATAGAGCACATCCCCAGATGGTCAAATGCAGGGCGAGGATCAGCATCCTCTGCGAGCAACTCATCGAACACTGCAAAAGGGGCGTGCAGACAAGGGGGTGTCCCAATAAAAGACACCCCCCCTAGAAGTATCTCCGCAGAAGTATCGGATCGGAATGATAGTTACACCATTCGCAAGCCCTTCAAACGGCGAGTTTGAAACACTCTTCAAAACCGTGTTTTCTATAAAAATGCGCTATTTTAGAAGCTACTTTGTTAAATTTTGCCGTTTTACGGGGTTGCCTACGAGCTAATTTGCTTCAATTCCTCGAAGCGTCAGACTTCCAATTTCAAAATTATTTTCGGGATGGTGTCCATATTTCTGAAATTCATGGTCCCCGGACGGGGGTCCAGTGGCAAAAAGGGTACAATTCAAATAGGCGGGGGGGAAGATTTAGGCGGGGGAAACCACTTTTTTTGTCGGCCCTGGTGGGGATAGTAATCAAATATAAAGTGTTTTCACATTGTTTTTAGCAAAATCTAAGCCTATCTGAATCGGAAAAACTTTTTAAAAAGTTAGAAAAACGCTTGAAAAAGTCGAAAATTTGGTCATTTTTGGGCCGCAAAAAAATGATTTTTCGACCTAAAATTAATTTTTTTAATTAAGTTTTGTAAAGTTTTTATGTTTAGGAATAGCTATAAACAATTTAAAAACACTTCCACTATTTATATAAAAAATATAGGCTTGGGCGGAAAAAAGTTCGGTTCCCCCCCGCCTAAATCTTCCCCCCCGCCTATTTGAATTGTACCGCAAAAAGTGCCGCGAAGCGGTCTTTTTCCACTGGTTTACGTATTAGCCTGGTCCTGGAACGCACGGGTTCAAATGGAAACAAGGCCTGCTCCACTAGCAAGAAGACGACGGCGGAGAGAATCCATGTGATGAATGCCCGTGTTTCCTCCAGCGCCTCCATCGGCAGCATTTGCTATCAGAGCGTCGACAACTGGAAATGTAGAAATCCGTAACCCGGTCAAAAAAAAAGTTCTTAAAGGGGCTCAGAGGTCGAAATTCGTGCGTGCGGGGATTGGACCTACGGGTCAAAAAAACGAAAGGGCACTGCCGAGAAGTGCTAAAAAAGTGATTTGATTGCGAAAGAACGTAACATCTTCGAGAAAAACCGAATTCTTTTTGGGGCGAAAACGACATATTGAGTGCGCGGCAATTACCTGTCGTAATGCCTTGTAATGCACCCAATCTCTCGATCTCGGTGATTTTCTGGACAATTTTCATAATTTAAAAGTCTGGAATGATCAAAATTCGTTGAGGATCCCAAAAACCGCATCAGAATTTTGAAATTCAAGCGTTTTCGCTTCCAAACAGGGGCAAAAGATCATGCGGTGCGGTCGCGTTGCGGCCGCATCTGGCAATTTGCCGGGAATCACAGCAGGGGGCCGTGGACCAGATTTCGGAGTCGCCTTAAAGGGATGCCCAACCTTTTCGCGGCTCAAAAAGCAAAAACCATGCAGCGAGCGGGCGTCGAACCCGGGACCCCCGTTTTGTAGGCCTGGATGCTATCCATTAGGCCATGGTGGCCAGCCATTGGATGGGATGGGGACGCCACAAGAGGGAAAGGTGGCCGAATTCTGTGCGGCATTGGGGGGCCCATTGCCGCACCAAATTCGAGCGTCATTTGTACTGCCCGGAATCCATAACTATATATTTGCCGCAAAAACCTTGGGTATCCCTTTAAGTTTTCTAGACCGATTTGCGTCTGTTTTGTTAAATATTGTCTAGATACGTGTAACGGCGCATTATCCCCAAATTCTCTCCGCTAGCCTGCCCTTCCCCGGGCAGAGTTCAGCACGCGTTTCTCGAGTGATCGCGAGATCAGGGCGTGTCCGCCTTGGGTATTGTCTACCGCTGATCGAAATGGCACCTCGTCTTGTTTGAGGAGTTCTCTCTCTCTCTCTCGCCATTCCAGAGTCAAACCAGTCTCCTGCGGGCTTTTCTGTTTGCCTCCAAGTCGACCCCTCCGGACCCTTCTCTTTTTCGCCCTCTACCCAACACACAGATCAGCGCCGTGCCCAACACCCTGGCCACCGACAGTTTTTGCCATAGTCTCTGGCTACGGAAACGACCTCAAAGAATCACTCTGACACTCTCTCTCACTCTCACTCTTTCTCTCTCTCGCTCTCTCACACGCTCTCTCTCTATCACTCTACCTCTCCATTCCTCACTGAATCTCTGCTAGCTCGCCAAATTCCATTCGTGGATGGATATTTCAGAAAGTGCTGGCGGCTCTCATTATTCACCACCCCCTTTTGATCGATTGATGCCGACGGCGGCTGAGGGACGGTAAGTGAGTCATCACAAAAGTCACCCAATTATCGGCTTCAATTCATGTCTATTTTCTTATTCAAAAAGTTTTAGGCTCTTTTCTGACACCCAGTTTAGCGTTCGGCAAATCGCCAATCTTTCCACGACCTTGTTTTCATCGCGTCATCGATCAAAAAAGCCACAATTTACTCGATTTTAGCGTTGAAATTGTCTAAAATGCGAAAATTACCACTTTTTTTAGTTTTAGGTGCTTTTCTGGCGTCCAGTTGGCGTTTGCCATGTCTTTAGCTGTTTCTAAGGACTGTTTTCATAACGTAATCGGTCCGAAAAACCGAAAAATGGCTGATTTCATATTTAAAAAGCGTCTAGAACGCCTGGTTTTTTTTGAATTTTTCGCTTTAAGTTTTTTTCTGGCAGCCATTTTAAAATTTGGCATCTTTCCAGCCATTCTCAAGGTGATTTTCGTAGGGTAATCGATCAAAACCCCCATAAAATCACCGTTTTTTGCAGGATGCCAAAATGCGGGGTGCTGAAGAAGTACACGAATTTCATGAACGGGTACCAGGATCGGTATTTCGAGATTCGGAACGGCCGGATCGCGTATTTCTATTCGAAGGCCGATCGGGCGAATTGCCGGGGGCAATTCTCGATGAAGAACGTTCTCGTTGAGGTGGGTGCTGGGGATCAGTATTTTTGCCTGCAACGGGCCTTTAAAACGGGCCTTACCTTGGCGCCCCCCGCTAATAGTCCAGAACCGGAGAGAGGGAGAGAAAGAGAGAGGGAGAGAGTGAGTGTGAGATAGAGCTAGAGAGAGAGAGAGAGAGAGAGAGAGAGAGAGACAGATAGAGAGAGAGAGAGAGAGAGAGAGAGAGTGAGAGCGAAAGAGAGATGGGGAGAGAGAGAGAGAGAGAGAGAGAGAGAGAGAGAGAGAGAGAGAGCTGCAAACATTTAACATCGTGTGTGTTTTTGCAGGCTCACATGGACAACAGCCGGGATCTTATCCTTCGCTTCCCGGGTGATATAGTGTGGTATCTACAGGCAGAAGATGCTGTCGCGAGAGATCAATGGCTCAAAGCACTCACCAAAGAACATGTCGACTCGGATTATTCGAGTGCCTCTACAACCACGCATACACATTCAAGGAACCCGTCAATATCGTCGGCCACCGAGCTGAGGCTGCCCCTCGAAAAGGTTTGGCCTCAAATATTTTGGGATTTCCATGAATTTTTCGACTTTTTCTGGCTGGCATTTTATTCTGCACTTTGAGAGCTAAATTTTGGTATACTGTAGGGTACTGTAGCTTTGGGAAAATCGAGTTATGAGCGTTTTAAGGTGGAGAACAGTGAAAAAGCAAAATTTTTGGATTTTTCGCGTCTTAAAAATGTGGAATTTTTGACCGGAGCTAGTGAATTAGCGGGGGGAGGTGCTTTGGAAGTGCGGGGTATTCACCTGCACATGATAGAAATTATGAGGGAGAGCAGAGAGACAGAGAGACAGAGAGAGCGAGCGAGAGAGTGAGAGAGAGGAAGATAGAGAGCCAGAGAGTCAGAGGGAGAGCGAGAGAGCGAGAGGGAGAGTGCGAGAGTGAGAGATGGGAAATTGGAGTGCAACATCAGCTTTCAGGAGGCGATCGTCGACTCGCGTCTCTCAGACCTCCAGGGCTACCGTGATTTGATTGCGGCCCGCTTGGGGGCCCTCGAAAAAGCGATTGAAGTCGGCACCAACGTCGGCAAGGTCGGGTTTTAATGCCTGGCCATGGGTTGCCTCTGGAATTTCATGGCGTAATTGCTTGTTCGAAAGACTAAAAAAGCCTTTTAGGCCCGAAAAATAATTTTTCGTTTAGGTAGAAGCCCTGGAGGTGAGAGCAACAAAACTGGCCGTTCTCTCGACAATTGATGATATCGTCGAATTGTTACGTCGCGGGGTCCACACCCAAATTGCCGATTTCCCCACGCCCGTATCACCGGAAACGACCGAGGAAACACCGATGTCGGCCAGGTTGGTGTCTGAAAAATCAGTCCATTTTACATTCCAAAATTGTCGACGAATTCCGCCATTCGACGATAGATTACGCCACGCAAATCTCCCATTTTCAGCAACGAATCCATCTCGACATTCACACCAGCCCCTCCGCGACGCGTCAAAGAACACAATACGGTGACTTTTGTGGTATGTACACGACATGTAAGAGAGAGTGAGAGAGAGCGAAGGGAGAGCCAGAGAGAGAGAGAGAGACAGAGAGAGAGGCAGAGAGAGAGATGGAGAGAGAGACATAGAGAGAGAGACAGAGAGAGAGATGGAGAGAGAGAGAGAGAGAGAGAGAGAGAGAGAGAGAGAGCGAGAGAGAGAAAGGGAGCCAGAGCGAGAAAACCGGCGAATTCCAGACAAGCGACGGCGAAGAGGAATTCCATGATGCCGATGAGCATTCATCACTCGGCAGTATTGAGGAGGGCACCGAGGCCAGGGAAAGGGACTCTAGGTAGGGGCAAATGGTCTCTGCTAGCATGTCTCATTTTTCTGAAAATCCCTTACTCGCCAGTTTACGGTTTCCACCAAAAATCCCTGCTTGCCTGCCCTCAAAAAAATTTTAGGCCGGGTTCGGCATGCCAGAATCGAGCCGAACAGCCCCAACCCGTCGTTCAAGTCGTCGCCGCCCCAAAAAGGGTAGATTTTCCAATTTTTATCATAATTTTTGGTTCAGAATCTGCCATTCGGGTGTTTTGACCACGTTCAACTTCCCGGAAATTACGAACTACACGCCGAAGTGGAGGAGATTACCATGCAACAGGTCGGCTAGCAGAGAGCAGTTGGGTAAATTTCGCTAAATACTCGATACACGACAATCGACAGACTGACAGCCAGCCAGCTAGTAGATTTAAACCGTTTTTGACTGTTCCTAAACGTAAAAAATTTCAAATTGGATTACAAATCTAAAAAATCTCGGTTTTTTGCGCAAAATTCCCGAGTTTTGAGCAAAATTGAAAGATTCCGGCAAAATCGAAAGACCTGCCAGCCCCTTTAGCTACGCGACGATACTTTCAGCTACGATACGCGATGGAGGGGGTCGACAACTCGACGTGGACATTATTCGCTGAAGATGGACAGATGAAGATGTTTAAGAGGGAAGTAGAGATGGATGGACTTCCTGTCGATCCATTGAAGGCATTGCATCATGTCAAGGTGAGGGAGAGAGATAGAGAGAGAGCGATAGAAAGAGAGAGAAAAAGAGCGAGAGAGACAGAGAGAGAGAGAGAGAGAGAGAGAGAGAGAGAGATAGCGCGTGAGTGAGAGAGCGAGAGTGAGAGAGTGAGAGAGAGATCGAGAGTGAGAGAGAGTGAGAGAGAGTGAGAGAGAGCGAGAAAGAGAGACAGAGAGAGAGACAGTGAAAGATAGTGAGAGAGATTGGGAGATACAGAGAGAGAGAGAGCGAGAGTGAGAGAGAGCTAGAGAGAGTGAGAGATGGAGAGAGAGCAATGAATCTCTTTTTTTCAGGGAGTCTCAGCCCTTGAATACATGCACTACTTCTTCGACCCTCGCTACAAGAAGAATTGGGATCACACGCTGGAGGCAGTGTCTGTTCTCGATAATCCCTCACCCGACACGGCCCTCCTGCATCAGAGACACAAAACGGTCAGTTAAAGCAGAGGTCATCCGATTACCCCGTGTAATTCTGAACGGGCCGGATAGGGTGAATTTTCGTGTCGTAATCGATTAGGCAATGAAAATCAAACACTGTTTAGCCGATTACACCCCATAATTCTAATGGGAGCGCCATCATCAGCAAGATTTTCATGACGTGATCGATTACGCAGCGTAATTCATAGTTTAAAGGGAGTGTGACAGCGCGCGAATTTGCTGGACAACTACGCCATGTAATGGCGCTCGAGATCACCAATTACGCCATGTAATTCTGCACTTCAGATCTGGCCGGCAGCTTCGCGAGAATCCCTCTTCTGGACGCATATCCGGCGGGTTGACGCGATGAAAAGCCCCGATGCGGCCGATCTGTATATCGTCTGCAATAAGGATGTGATCAGAGAAGATGTTCCGGTAAGGGGCAAGCTAGCAGAGACCATTTAAAGTACGAGAAACGCGTTGGAAATCTTGAATATTTCCGCATTTTTCGTATACGACGATTTTTCGGCCATTTTCGGGTCGAAAAATCGATATTTTTGTATTTTTCTACTGAGAAATTGCATAGTTTTACGTTTAGGAGTAGCAAAAAACGCAAGGCAGGCTAGCAGAGATCATTTAAAATACGTAGCGCTCCTCGAAACGCCGAAATCTTTCAGCTGGGCACGTCGTCCTCAGTTCGCGTCAAGCTGACCGTGTCGATGGTGTGCGAGACGTTGATCGCTGGGAATAAACCCGGTAAGTCCCAGCGGGGCAAGCTAGCCGAGACCATGTGCGGAACTGGCAAGCGGGTCTTTCAAAATGTCGTCGAAATTTACATATGCTAATTTTTGCGGAAAACCACCGAATCCTATGTAAAAAGATTCGATATTATGAACTTCATCCTTCTGGATTTCGACTTTACGATAGTAAATCAGGGCAAGCTAGCCGAGACCATTTGCTGAACCGTTTGAAATCCCCAAATTTTTAGCGGCCGACTGCACCCGTGCCGACGTATCCTGTCGTATTCTTTACGTTTCATGCGGTAAGTGGTTTACGATCTTGTGGAAGATCTTGAAGGGTGTTATTTGGCATTTCTTTCGTCGGCTTTTTAGCTGTCGGCATTCTTACTGCCGTAGATTGTATTGTCGGTATTTCTTACGCGGGCATTTCTTCCGGACGATGCTAAATTCGAAAATGCCGACAAGTGAAAGCGACGTTAAATTTCGAGAATTTCGTAATGCCGACACGAATTCGATTTTGTCGGCATTTTGGGCCCCGAGATTTCTCGCGGCGCCAGTTTTTTCGATGTCGGCATTCTTCGGGCTTTGAAATGCCGACAGAAACGATATTTTTCGGCGTTTTTGGCCCAAATTTTGCGGGTATTTCGGCCGTAGATTCGATTGTCGGGATTTTTAACGCCATATACCTCCTTTTTCCAGTACATCCGGGTGGCTGGGTGCCAACGGCAGCCCTTCGCACCGTCTACAAGAAGGAATACCCCAAATTCCTGCGAACATTCACCGAATTTGTACTGTCAAATGTTAAGGATAAGCCCCTGGCCATGTAGAGACCAAAATCAATTTTAAAAATTCGTAAAAATCCCTAGATTTTACCCAAAAAACCTCAGAAATCCTTGCAATAACCCCGCCAAAAACGTGACCGCCCATCTAGTTGATCAGCCGACTGTGATTATCCTGGTTTCCCCCTAAATTCCTATATTTCGCCCCAACCTACCGTATCCCCTCCCTCCAAAACCACTTATAGAGCGTTGCCTTGATTTTTTCGCATTGCCTCGTGAAATTAGCGCCTTATTTTGCAGTAAAAAACCCGGAAAATGACTTTTTTTAGCGTGAAACGTCGAGTTTTGCCCTGGATAACGCGCCGCTACAAATGACACATGATTCCGTGGCGTAAACGGTTGCGTAATTGCGTTTCGGCCGGCGAAAACCTCAAAAAAAAATAGGTTTTCCAGCTAAAAAATTTGTAGAGTAGGCATTCCCCTCTTAATGTCCCCGCCTTTTTTCCAACCTCCCCTTCCAATTGTTGTGGTCATTTTTGCATGTTGAATCGGGTAGAATAAATGTTTTTTCTGTCATGGTTTTTGATTGCAGAAGAGAGAGAGAGAGAGAGAGAGAGAGAGAGAGAGAGAGAGAGATAGTGAGCGTGAGAGTACCTGAAAATAAAGTCGACAAAGGCGCAACAAATACCGGCACGGCATTCTTGAAAAATTTTCAGCTGTCGGTATTTTTGAATGAATACTCTGATCGCCACTATTTCGCATTGTCGGCATTCTGCCGGTGGCGGTCGGCATTTCGAAAAAGGATTCTGGGCTGTTAGCGGGGGGGGCAAATTTTCCCCGTGATCGTCTACGGCCTGATAACAAAATATAAACCATCTTTACAGCATTTTACATAGTTTTTAGATATAAAACAGTAAAAAAATGTATGAAAAATGACCAAAAAAGCCAGAAATTTCGAATTTTCCATATTTCAAAAATATTTTTAGAACTTTTTAGCAATTGAAAACTAATAAAAACACTGTAAAAGTATGTATATATTAACAGGTATAAGCGGAAAAACGAAAATTAGTTTCCTCCCCCGCTTACGGTCCAGTACTTTCTCCCTAACATAACTTTTTCGAGAAGCCACCCGTTCAGAGGACACAACGGAATCTAATCTGCCCCCTTTCCACTCCCCGAAATTGCTAATGAATGTCAAAATAAATGGAATCCCCGGCGGCGAATTATCACACTTTTCGACAGCCCAATTATTTCGGTAGTCAGCAACCGGAGAACGAAAGAAATTGGCGCTCGTAAAAATTGGCAGGTTGACAGCGATCCCGTGATGGCACACATCCGAAATGATCTCTGCTCGCTTGCCCCCCAACCATTCCCAAAGGGGCTCTGCTAGCTGACCGGGGGTTGATTTCTGAATTCTGGGCAGGCTAGCAGAGCTTCTTTGTGGAAACTGGGGCCAGTTAGCGGAGATTCTTTGCGGAAAACCGGGTAAACTAGCAGAGATTTTTTGTGGAATTGGGGGTGAAATAGCAGGGGTGTTTTGCGGACACTGGGGCAAACTAGCAGGGATTTTTTGCGGAAACTAGGGCAGACTAGCAGAGAATCTTTGTGGAAACAGCGGCAAACTAGCAGGGAAACTTTGAGGTAATGGGGCGCGCTAACAGAAATTCTTTGCGGAAACTAGGGCCAGCAAGCAGAAATTCTTTGCGGAATCGGGGCCAACTAGCAGGGATTCTTTGTGGAAACCAGGGCAATCTAGCAGGGATCTTGGAGAGGAAAATCTTGTATCCCCAATGATCTCTGCTAGCTGCCGACTCGTCTCTTACCAATTTTAGCAGCTAGCAAAGGTGATTTCCGGATTCCAGGGCGTACTAGCGGAGATTCTTTGCGAAATCCCGGTTTCCGATTTTCAAACCCTTTTGTGCCCTGAATGTGCCTCTTTTTCTTGTCTAAAAAGTGTAGAGAGAGGTCTATAGATGCCCCCTAGATAGTCTCCCCTCCCCTTCCCCTCCCTTCGCCCCCAAAAATCGTCGAAAAACTCGAGTAAAAAACGGTGAAAAATAGTGTGACATGGCGACGGGTACGGGCTGAGACAACCCCGAGAATTCTTTTGACTTTTTATGGGACAGTTCGACACCCTTTTCGGGCAAAAAGCAAAAAGTGAGCCGCGGCCGGGGGTCGAACCCGGGTCCTGTGGGCGCGACTGTTTGAAGTTTGTAGTCAATTTTGTAGTGTGTATTCTGTCGTTTGGATGTCAGTTTAGGGGTTTCGATAAAGATCCTTACAAGCCTGCCTCCTCTCTCTCTCTCTCTCTCGCTGTTCGTCGCGGAATCTCTGCTAGTTTGCCCTAGATTCCGCAAAGGATCGCTGCAAGTTGGCCCCGGTTTCCACAAAGAATCTCCGCTAGTTAGCCTAGATTCGGCCGTACTGCTTGGCCATGACGAGTTCGTGGGAATGAGGAATTCCCGAGCTTTGAAATGCAGTGATCACCGTCTCTCTCTCTCTCCCTCTCTCTCTCTCGCTCTCTCTCTCCCGTTCTACTTCCTGAGTAATCTGACCCTGTGTCTCCCCTTACCATCCCCCTCGAACACCTCGCTCAACTCTACCCATTATCACTGTAGTTTGTGGCAGAGATTCTTGAGGATTTTAAAGGCAACTGTACACCCAGAATTTCATAGAAAATGGGTCAACTAGCAGAGACCATTTGCGAATTTTTGGGCCCAACTCCCGGATTACGGTAGCATTCCAAAAATTGGCTCGGCTCACCCCCAAAAAACCCCTGAGGAAGCCACGCCTCCAGAGGCTGGGAAGGTGTCAGAACGGGGGTATTGGGAACGGATTTTGACACGGAAGAACCAGCCGGATTGCTCAAAGAATCTCTGCTAGGCTGCCAGTCTCCCTCTTCGCTCTCTCTCTCTCTCTCTCTCTCTCTCTCTCCCTCTCTATCTCTCTATCTCTATCTCTCTCTCTCTCTCAATCTCCATTCCTCAAAGAATCTCTGCTAGACCTCCCCCACTTTCCAGAAATGCGATCAGAGCGTGTCCACCCGACAGAATGCACTCGTTTCTTCGGTGTCCACAAGCGTATCCCTAAAGGTGAGTGCCAAGCTCCCTTAAATCCCCAAGAATCACTGCTAGCCTGCCCTCATTTTTCAGATGTTCGTCGCCACTGTGGTATCTGTCGTCAACATGGACTGACCGTGGAGACACGAGGACATCATTGTCCTTTTAGGGATTGCCGATGTGAGAAGGTGGGCTAGCCGAGAACATTTGAGGGCAGGCTAGCAGGGATTATTTGCGGAATTTGGCTCCAAATAACGCACGAATCGACAAAATTGCAGCCAGCTAGCTAGCAGAGACCATCAGGGAAGGCCAGGCTAACAGGGATTCTTTGCGGAAACAGCCGACTGACAGACGCTTGAATCAAATCTGAATCGGGCAGGCTAGCAGGGGTAATTTGTGGAATTTGGGTCTAAACAGCGAACGTATCAGTAAACTGGCAGTCGGTCAGCTAGCAGAAACCATTATGCAAGGGCACGCTGGCAGGGATTCTTGGTGGAACTGCTAGGCTCGCAGACAGATAAAGCAAATAAGAAGGAGGCCGGCTAGCAGAGAGAATTTACGGAAATTCGGCTTCAAAAACCGTGCCGATCGTCTAACTGGCCGCCAGCTAGCTAGCAGAGACAATTAGGGAAGGGCAGGCTGGCAGGGATTCTTTGTGGAATTGCTAGGTTGGCAGGCAGTTAGAGGAAATCTGAATCGGGCAGGCTAGCAAGGGTAATTTGTGGAATTTGGCTTCAAGAACCGTACCGATCGTCTAACGGGCTAACCGATCGTCTAGCTAGCAGAGACAATTAGGGAAAGGAGGCTAGCAGGGATTTTTGTGAAAAATTTCCTGAAAACCATTACTAATCGACAAACTGGCATGCAGCAAGCTAGCAGAAACCATTAGCGAAGGGCAGGCTAGCAGGGATTCTTGGTGGAATTGCTACGTTGACAAACAGCTAGGCTAAATTTAAAAGGCTAGCTAGCAGAGACCCTTTGTGGATCGATCTCTCCGTTTCAGTGTCTCCTAATCCGTGAGCGTCGGCTGATAATGTCGACGCAAATCCGTCTGCGTCGTCAGCAGGACCGTCAATTCCAGCGAACAACTGATGCCGCCATGGCCACGCTTATCATCGAGAAAAAGGATCTGAATATGGTACGCGAAAAACCGCATTTTTAACGGGACCAAATTTTACCCTATGATTCTCTACGGCCTTATCACAAAATATAAACCATTTTTATAGCATTTTACATAGTTTTTAGCTATGGAAACAATATAAAAACAATGAAAACTTTTCAAAATTTGACTTTTTGGTCAAATGTATGAAAAATCACCAAAAAAAGTAACAAAATTTCGAATTTTTAAATTTAAAAATAGTTTTATAACTTTCTAGCAACCAAAAACTACTTAAAACACTCTAAAAATACATAATATATCATCAATAGGTAGGTAGAGGTGGAAAAACAAAAAGGGGTTAGCGGGGGGCTAACAGTCCAAGCCGAAAAAGCAAAACTGTCGAATTGCAGGAGCAGCTGAGCACTTGCTACGTCTGCCAAAAGTGCAAAAACCACGGTCTCCTCAAGTGGAAGAAGGTGGGCGGGCAAAAAGCAAAACGTTTTGTCACCCCCGGGGAATCGAACCCGACCCATTTGGGAGGGATTTTACGTTTATCATCGAGAATCGTGAGGAGTTTCACGCTAAAATGCGCTCTAACCTCTTCAAAATTTCGATCAAGAAAATTTGGAAGAAAGTTCCGGAATCAGCGCAAAATTCTGCACAACTGTAAAAATAACTTTTTAAAAATCGCTATGATTTCGACAAAATGAAAATAAGCTCCTAAAAACATCTCCTTGATAGTGATCCTCGTCAAAATGCAACCGGAATCAAGAAATGACGCCACGAGCGGAACCCGGGTGGTACCAGACGATTAATCCACGATTTCAGGACCACAAGAAGCAGTGCGCCTACCTGAAATGTGGTTGTGCTCAATGCCAATTGATTGAGACGAGAAGAGCGTTGGATAGGACCATCAAAGGTATCATCCGGAACTTTTCCATTATCGGGGGCTAATTTCACCCATGTATAGGCCCAGAAACGCCTAGTATTCTTAGTAAATTTAGGTATGAGGTCGAAAAACCCTAAAAAACCTAGAAAAAGTTTCAAAATCCCGGTCGAAAGCGGCCATTTTTAGTCGAAAAATCGATATTTTTGGATTGTTACTAAAAATGTAAACGTTTTGGTTTATTAATAGGCTATGGAAAATGTAAGACTATGTAATAATTTGAAAATGTTGTCGAAAATAGGTGTTTTTTGTCGAAAAAACGTTCAAAACGATAAACGCTTTTCAGAAGAGCGCTGCCGAGCCGGGCCCAGCCACGAGAATCAAACCCCGAAAAGCGCAGAATCGCAGGAAATCGCGTTCAAACCGGAAGCCGCAGAAGACGAACGCGCACAACCCTTAAAAGAATATTGGGATCCCATTCACATCACGGTAAGGAGAGAGCTCTAGCACGCTCGCTCGATCCTCCAAAAAGTAAAACGCAATAAATTCCAGCCTCAGCCCTCTACCCTGAACTATGGATGGTTGATGTATATGCAGACACAATCACCCTCTTATCCGACTTGTTATCACCCAGACAACGACGATTTGAAGCCACCAAACCAAAACAGTCACCATCAAAAACGCCCGTTCACCATAGAATCCATTCTATGCTTACAGTCTGAAATCTAATAAACAAGTACACCTCATAAAAGCGATTCGATGGGCAGCAAAAGTTACAAAACAACAATTTATTCGACAACAAAAAGCACAAAAACCTCTTGTTTGTTTACTTCAGCTTCTTCTTGATGCGCAGATCGTTGGAGTGGCCGCACTTCTTCTTGCGACAGTTTGTGGCACGGGGCGGCAGTCGGGCATAGCAGCGACGGCAGATCTGCTTCTCGCAGTTGTACTTCTGGGCCAATTGACGCAGCGACGGCTCGATGATACCTAAATAATAAATGTAATCAATAAACGCAAAACAAGAACGGACCTCCGCGAAGACGAAGGACGAGGTGGAGGGTGGACTCCTTCTGAATGTTGTAGTCGGACAGCGTGCGTCCGTCCTCGAGCTGCTTGCCTGAAATCACAAAATTAGAAATAGAAACACCGTAAAGAACAATGCATTCTTTCTTTCCAAATTTTTTGAATGTCTACAGCATGGTTTTTCTCAGCATTCACGGCCCCGACGGGACTCGGCCAAGATAAGGAATATGCCGAAGGGACCGGGCATCTTCAAAAAGGCAATGAAGCGCCGCGCAGCCCTTATTCTAGGATTCAGCAAATGGACAGCCACAGACAGAGTGACGCCCCGAATTTTGCGAGGAGGAAACCTCCAATGAATCCACCTATTGCAACTCTTTGACATAAAAAATGTACCGGCAAAGATGAGACGCTGCTGGTCCGGGGGGATGCCCTCCTTGTCTTGAATCTTGGCCTTCACATTTTCGATCGTGTCCGACGCCTCGACCTCGAGGGTGATCGTCTTCCCCGTCAACGTCTTGACGAAGATCTGCATCTTCCTGCAAAATAATTTTTAATTTTTTGTATTGAAAACACCGGAAACAATGTGGAAAAGAAAGAAGACGCTTTACTCACAAAACAATGTGTACCCACGTCGTGAAAATGGAATTCTCAAAATCAACAAATAAGCGCTGGCGCCCGAATCAGAAAAGGAATCACAAAGCAAACAGAATCAAAGCTTCTTTCGTCGAATGGCGGACATGCCCGACCAGCCCGAAGTGGCCGCCTCTTGTGGTGGCTGTTCTGTAGAGGCCTGCGCGACAGCTGCCAGCGGCTCCGGCTTGACATCGACATCCATTGGCGGATCCACGATCCCATCCAGCAAATCACCGAGCCCCGCTTGATCTTTGTTACGTCGGGCAGCCTTGGTGCGACCGGCTTTAGTGCTTTTCGTGACCTCCATGCGACATCCTTCCACCGAGGCAGCAATATTGTCGACCTGAGCCTGGATCAACGCATCACCGTCCTCCTCATCTTCGACCAACGTTGTGCCCTCAGCCAAGGAAGCCTCAGTTATCCTCCCTTGACCGTCAGATGTGCTTGGCGAATCGCATCGGTCCTCGATTTGGATCATCTCGTTCGGCTGGTTCTCATATAAACTGATGAAGTCGCCACCGATCAAGTTCGAAAAGCCAGCCGTCTTTTGGTTCTTCCCCCGAGTAATGGCGTCTTTGCTGCACGTGGAGGCGATGAGATCAGTCAAATCAGAGGCTCGTTGAAAGGAACGTTTGACGCACGCCGTGATAGTGCCCGTCGACAGGATCAATCGACCAGTCTGGTGCATGGCACACACCTCCTTGCGCTTGTTGATAGCCATCCACAGGCATCCGTCAAGAAACAGCTCTTCTCGGGCATTTGGATCGACGATTGCCTTGCCATCGACAAATCCGTACATCACGCAGATGGGAATGTGGTGAATGTTCAACGGAACCGGCGCGAATTCTCGCTCGGGGTGGATGATCGTCTGCTCGGGCTCGACGGTGATCATTGGACGACGATAGTGCTGAAGGGCGGCCACCGCAGCGATCGACGCACAGTCCAGCAGATTTCCATCGTCATCCAGCACCTTGACGCTGACCACCAACTTCCAAACTTCCTTCCCGGCACGCAGGCACAGCGATTCGACGTCGATACATCGCGAATCGCGCAGCACAACTTCCAGCATTTTGCGCAGCTCGAATCCTCGACTTCCGAGCCGGTTGCTTTGGAACATCGGGTTGGCGGCCGGGCTCAGGTCCACGTCGATGAAGATCAATCCGTTCGTTGGTCGGGCCCGCCTTGGTTCGGCGATCTCGCCGCGCACCGAGCAGCACACCTTCGTGTTGCCCACCGAGCAGATGGCCGTCCCGTACGTCGAGCCGAGGGCGAGTTTCACGGCTCGAAACTCGTCCAGTCCACGTCCATCGATGCGCAGGTTCTCGGCGATGCTCTTCTTGATGAAGGCTTGTTCGCAGAGGGTCGGGGGCTCGTCCCGCATCTGAAATCGAAAATGTATCAAATTTTGGAGGAAGAAAAGCGTGAAAATCATAATAACAAAAAGGCTAAAATCCGCGTAAAACCCGAGAAAGTCGTAAAATCGCAAACGCGAGCCATTTTCGCGAAGAAATGTGGCGCGCGCACAGTTATCGCTCGTGCATTGTAGCCACTCGGAATTTTGTGATCCAGAAATAATTTTTTTGTCAAGTTGAATGCCAAAATTGTTTTTATATTTTTAGCTTGATTGTTATTGATTCTTTGTTGAATTTGACACGTTGACTTACTGATTAGGGGTCTTTTAGTTTAAGTTTTCGGCTTGTGACACGTCACATACCTTATCTGGAGTGGCATAAAGGAGTTGCCGGCTGGCCTTCGCTTTCACTTTTCTTTCTCGGCTTCACTTTTGCTTTAGCCTACCGGTAGTAATGATACTTTTTCAGACTTGGAATGCGGGAAGAGCCGGTTGCCACCGTGGGGCCAGAAGAATCCTGGCTGAAGACGGCCAAGTTCGTCGAGGTGCTCGCCAGCGACACCAGCCATAAGGTTTCTAGTTTTTGGAGATCACTTTTTAAACGTAAAAACTTTAAAATTACAAATTTTACAAGCAATATAATTTTCATTATTTAAAAGATGAAAAAAAGATAGATTTTTCGAGGAAAAATGGGTAATTTTCGACCAGAAATTCAAAAAAATCCAGAAAAACTTGAAATATAGTTAACCTTAACTAAAAACTCGAATAAAACACTTCCTTTCAAGTTTCTAGACTTTTGGAAAAAATCTGGTCCCCCGATAATACGAAAGAACCTACTTTTTTTAGTCGCTCTTCATCCTGCTGCGCCAAGAAAGCACCGGTGATGAGGGGATCATGCTGCTGAACAAGTCGCCCTTCGAGGAGGATCCCGCCTGGATCGACAGGGTAATTTCGGCTTTTGCAACTAACACGCTCTTCAGTTCCAAAAAACGGCCGCCCTGACGCAGCTCTCGAAGAACGACATCTTTGGCAACTACGACGTCTCCATCCCGTCCGAATTGAACGGTACGATTTCACGGTGCTCCTGTGAAATTTGTGCTTGGTCCTTTTGCATTATCGCGGGGGGGGGGGATCGAGCTTGTTTTAGAGGTCTAGAAATCTCTAGTAACTTCATAAGAGCTGTTTTTGGTAAAATATAGCTATATTTCGACTAAGAAAACGATCTAAAAACCTTAGAAAGGTAGAAGTAGTTTTAAAAATTCGAAATTTTGGGTAAATACGGTCATTTTTGGTCGAAGAATTGATTTTTTCTTGTTTTTTTACTAAAAGTTGTTGTTTTCACGTTTAGAAAAGTAAAAACCGTTCAGAAACACTTCCACTATGCCGATTTGCAAATTAGATCCTAAGAAAAGTCTATCCCCCCTATAATGTAAAAGATTTTTTCGCTTTAGTGATCAAGTCGCAGCTGATCTACCCGGTCAACGACAAGCTGAAAGCGAAATACCGCGCCGACGAGAAGTTTGTGATCACGGAAACGCCCGACGACTACAGATCGATCACCGTCGAGTACATCAACAAATTTCAGCTGAATCTCGGTGTCAGTTTTTCGATTTTTTTTTTTTGGCGAATTTTCTGTTTTAGTGGGTGTACAACTTGTTGCGAAAAGAGGCGGAGGCCGAACGGATCATCTACGAAGACCCGGACCCCCACAACGGCTTCATCTTGGCCCCCGATATCAAGGTATTGGAGGGACCTAATTTTGTTTTCGATTCGTCCAGAAATGCTGAGTACCGTATTTGCAAGCGTTTTAGTGGTGTTTTTCGTAAAATTAACTGTATTTCAAGTGAGAAAAACTCATAAAAATTTTTTGCATAACTATCTAGTCGAATTTAGCTCGAAAAATCGATATTTTTGTGTTTCCATCAAATTTTGGGCGGGGTTTTACGTTGAGGAATTGTAAAAACGGTTTAGAAGCACGACCTCTTTTTAAATTGGAAAAATTGGTTCTGGCTGTTAGCGGGGGGACCAAATCTCTCCCTTTAATTCTCTTTACGACGCTATAACAAAATTTAAAGCATTTTTATAGGATTTTAGATGGTTTTAGTCATAAAAACAATATTAAAAATGCCAAAAATTTTCGAAAATGGACATTTTGTTCACAAATGTATGAAAAAGGACCAAAAAAAGGGTCATTTTCGAATTTTCAAATTTTTCAGATTTTTGTTCTAACTTTCTAGCCATCAAAAACTATTAAAAAACAAACAAAAAGTGGTTTTCCCCTACGACACCCCCGCTAACAGTCCAGAAACGAAAGATTCGAATAGTTAGAAAAAAGTTGGGCCCCCCCCCCCCCGATAATGCAAAAGAACCGGAGGATTCGGTCTTTTATTCTTTTTTTCAGTGGGATGGTGTGACAATCGAGAGTCTCTACGTCCTCTCCATCATCCACCGCAAGGGCGTCAAAAGCGTGCGGTAACGGAAAAACTATGAATTTTTTCAGTTCAATCTTTTAGCGACCTCACCGCCAACGATCTGCCAATGTTGGAGAATATGCGCGACAAGTGTCTGAAGACCATCAACGAAAAGTGGGCACTTTTTAGCTGATTTATGTTTTTTTAGATACGGACTTCGAGCGGACCAAGTGCGAGCGTACTTCCACTACCAGCCCTCGTTCTACCATCTCCACGTCCATTTTGTCAACTTGAAGTAAGGGCGGTTCTTTTGCATTATCGGGGGGGGGGAGGCTCGGCTTTTTTATGTCTAAAAATGCCTAGTAAGTAATAGACAGTGTTTAATAGCGTTTTTAGTACAATAGAAGTATACTTAAACTAGAAAAACGTTAAAAATGCTTGAAAAGGTCGAGATTTTGGGTAAAAATGGCCGTATTTGCACGAAAAATCGCTATTTTGGCAGTTTTTTAATTAAGATTTGTAAAGTTTTACGTTTAAGAATAGTAAGAAATCATTTAGAATAACTGCACCTTTTTGTATTCAAAAAATTAGATTGTGAGAAAAACTTCGCCCTAATTCAGATACGACGCGCCGGCGTGCCAGGTCCTGAGCGCCATCTCGCTCGACGACGTCATCAACAACATCCGGCTGCTCCCCGATTACTATCAGGTCATTCTTTTGCTGGCGTCTAATTTTAGCTGTGTTTTTTTAGCGGGCGACCCTCTCCTTCACGCGGAAACGTGGGGACAACTTGCTGCAGATGTACGTCGAAGCCGGGAGGAACGCCGCCGTCCAATAAAAAAAACCCCAGAATCCTTTTTCGGTTGTGATTTTGCTAGATTTTTGCGTAATTTTGTTGCTTTTTAATGCATTGATCTCCCCGAATCTTTGCCGGTCTTTCTAAATACTTTTCCCATTCATTCACTTTGTCCTTTTTTTCCGCTGCAACCTGGAATAAAGGGCTGTTTCCCGGAGCCGAATTCTGCATCTCCTGGCCTCATACAGCATTTAAAATTGCTATACTCTATTTTTATTTTTGTTTTTGAAGAACGGTTCTTTCGTGTTATCGGGGGGGGAGGGGGACCGATTTTTTTTTGTATAAGCCTAAAACTGCCTAGTAACTTAAAATGAAGTATTTTTATCGTGTTTTTTTTTAGCACATGAACCGATATTTCAACTAGAAACGAGCTAATAACTTTGGAAAAATTTCGGTTCTTTCGAATTAACGGTGGGACTTTTTCGTAGGATCTCAATTTTTCAAAGATAAATAGGGGGAAATGTCTCTAAATGAGACTTGAAAGCTTTACAGATTTTTATTTTCACAATGCCAAAATATCGGTTTTCCACCAAAAAAGTCCGATTTCTGACCAAAATTTCGCGTAGCTAGACGTGTATAAAAAAGTTATTATCGTTAACATTTTTATTTTGAGGAATTTTAGGCGCTTTTGGGCTCGGCCCGGCTCTTTCCCGTGAGTGGTGTCTATCCCGTGCCCCTTCCACCGTCTTTCCCCCCGCTGGAATCCCTCTTTTACGTTGGGAATTGGGGGAACCGGAGTTTTGTGCGAAATGCCGGGGCCTCGGGTCCGCTCGGGCCAGACGCTATTTCGTCAGCAAAAGAGGCGTCATCTTCTCGGTTTTTGCTTCACGAATGTTCTTCCGCTTCTCTTGAACTCTTTGCCAAGTCTTCGCTGGCTCGCGCTAGATATTTTCGCTACAGCCACGCTATTTGTAGGCCTTTTCCGCGTGCGTAGAATCTTCGTCGCTGGCGCTACTTCCGCTTAGCGGACCCAGTTTGATTTAAGGTCGTTTTCCATGGGTTTTGCCCCAGATATTAGGGTAGTTTGAAGCGCCCGGAGCTCGAAAAACAACAAGCCAGTTTGATTTCCGCTTTGATTTCGGGTCATTCGAGCTCGGCACGTCAAACTACCACCAAAAACGGTTGAACAAAGTGAAAAAAGTCACCCGCATCCTTACATTCCCCGCTTCAAGCTGTATTGCAAAACGATTTTGCGGCTGCTATGATTCTGATCCAGTTTTATCCATCTTCTCAACCGATTGGGCGCGTCTTTCGTCGACTCGGTACTTTTAGGGCCCTTTTGCTGATCGAGCGTGATTCTAGGTTCTTGTTTAGGCGTTGTTTAATAGAAATTCTCGGCTCTTCCGCTTTCAACCTTGGCGAAAAAGGGCTTGCAATCGTTTCCTGCATTTAGCGGCACGCATTACAACTTTTTTGCAGATCTAAAAATTCATTGGCCTACCCGAATCGATCGATTTTGATTAATAGGGCTTTCTTTGGCTGAAAACCACCGCCGCACAGCTCGCGGTGACGTCATCGTTTATTTACGCCAATGTTTTCTTCTCCCTTTCCTCCCTCCCCCGGCCTGTTTTGATCGTCTTTGCTCCGTGTTTTCCCCGAAACTGTTGATCGAAAATGCCTTTATAAGTGGATCTTTTTCAGGGTACATTCTCCGTCACACTTACCGCCATGTCTGACATCCCGGAGGGCGACTACGAGAAGGGAAAGAAGGTGTTCAAGCAACGATGCCTCCAGTGCCACGTCGTCGACTCGAAGGCCATGAAGACGGGCCCGACGCTCCACGGCGTCATTGGACGCACGTCGGGCACCGTGCCCGGATTCGACTACTCGCCGGCCAACAAGAACAAGGGAGTCGTTTGGGACCGACAGACGCTGTTCGACTACCTGAAGGACCCGAAGAAGTATATCCCCGGCACGAAGATGGTCTTCGCCGGACTCAAGAAGGTCGATGAGCGCGCTGATCTCATCAAGTTTATCGAGGTAAAACCGCGTTTTTCCTGGCGCTGTTTTTGTGGTGTATTGGGGGTGGCGGCAGTCCTGCTATGAAGCTATCTCTGAGCTTGGTTTTTGGCTTACAAGGACTCGTTTTTGAGTGTCTACGGCTTTTTGATATCGGGCGAATTCTATTTTGTGCAGAATTTTTTGCTGATCAAAAAAACCGACGCTTCTGGAACTACGTAACGCCATAGATGGAAATTTCAAAACTTTAAAGTGTGAGAGAGTCCGGAAGTCGCCAACTTTCGCCCTTTTTCGTCCTCTAAAACTCCATAACTCTCTTATTGGGGTCGTTCGCAGATTATGAAAACTAGGTTTTAATCAGGAAAAAATTCTATGCAAAAAAGGCTTCATAAAATTTCGAATGGACCCTGAAAAACGTCTCCGTTAGCTTTTCCACAAGCTTCAAGGTTAAAAACAAGCTTCGTTTCGAAGTTTAGTAATAGCCCGGACTGCCCCCTCCCCCAAGTGCACTAGCACCGTTTTTCTCTCCCGCCTAGCTATTTTATATCTTCTTTTTTTCCAGGTGGAGAGCGCGAAGCCCGTCTAAATGGTTCGACTCGACCAGGATCTGCTCAACCCTCCTCCGCCAAGAATCAATCACCATCCCCCGCGCCTCTGCCCACCAAATAAATGGCCTCTCCATTAGCAAGCTTTTAGGCATTCTCTTTTTGATTGTTATTTTGAGATCTTCTACGTTTTAGATTGTGTGAAATTGGATAAAGACTTTTTGAACGAATGCAAGGAAATGGAGAGTTGCCTCGTATTTACGAAAAACACTATCAATACAACATTGCGTAGCTGCGGCTTGCTCATAGTTTTGCGATGTGAATTGGCTCCCGCTTTGAATCCGTCGGGGTTTAGGCGCGTTCGAAACTCGCAGATTATTTTTGAAAGAAGCGCGCTAGTCTGATGTTTTCCAGTGATTTTGCGCGTGTTTTCTTAGCGTAAGAAAATCCGTTTTTTTCCAGGATGAATGCCCCATCGGCTTTCGAATCATTCCTACTCTTCGACGATCGAGGCGAGAAGAAGATCCAATACGAGATAGACACCAAGGTATCCATTTTCTTTGGAAATTTATTTGGAGGTTCTTTCTCATTATCGGGGGGACTCTTTTTACAAGGATCTAGGCTTTTAAAAGTCCGTGGAAACTTTTCTAAACGTTTTTTGCTATTCCGAAACGTGAAAATCACACATTTTGTTAAAAGTGCCAAACATTTCGATTTTTCGAGCATAAATGGCAGATTTTGGACCAAAATTTCGAGTTTTAAAGGTTTTATATAGTTGCTCTGGTTGAAATTAATTTGTTTTACTGAAAACACTATTAAAGCACTTCCTCGTGAGTTACTAGATTCTAGACTTGTACAAAAAGTTCAGACCCCCCCGATAATGCGAAAGAACAGAAATGTATTCTGATAATTAGGTACCAAACTGCGCCGTCTTCACGATCAACAAAGAAGACCACACCATCGGAAATCTCGTCAAACAGTTGGGAATTTTCGAGTTGACCCCATTTTGTCTGTTTTTTAGTCAGCTTCTCAAGGATCCGAATGTGCTGTTCGCCGGCTACCGAAATCCACATCCGCTGGAGCACAAGTTTTTGTTGAGAGTACGTTTCTTTTCGATATTTGCATCCTTTTTTCAGGTGCAAACAAACGGCGAATGCACACCGAGCGACGCCCTCAACATGGCCATCACCGATCTCATCTCCGAAGTCTCCTTGTTCTCCGAGCTTTTCGTGGTGAGCGTTGCGTGCAATTCTGAATTTGCTTTTTTAGGAGGCCGTCAAGGAGAAGCAGGAAATGGAGTGACGACTGCCACCCGCCGTCCATTGATCTGATCTCAATTAATAAACATAAAACACTGGTATAATGCGAATAAATATTTATCGAAGCAATTTGTCGGCTGAAGAATAGCTTGGTATACATCCAGAGATTGTACAGACATGCATTGCGCATTGCATGATGTTCGGAATCCTGTAATCGTGGACCTATTTTGAGACAAATCGCGTTTTTGCCTAAAGCTGCATTTTCTCGAGTGCTTTTGCGCCGTGATTAGAGGATTCGATAAAGCGTATTTTTAGCTGACAAGGATTGGTTTTTAGGTGTTCCTGGACTTTTGTGTTGTGATCAGGGGCGTACGAGGGGGGGGGGGGCAACAGGGGCAAGTTGCCCCCCCCAAAATCGGCCGAAGGCCGAAAAGTTCATAAGGGGGGACCCTTATGATTTTTTCAATAAAAATTTTTCTGCCTGCGGCGCTGTTCATTACTGTCTTTAAGACCGTTTTTACTTCTATGTCGACAAAAAATTTTCGAGTTGCCCCCCCCAAAAATCGGGTTCGTGTACGCCCCTGGTTGTGATGCTCGTTCGATAAAGCTTCAAATTCTAAGTCCGATCTTTCAAAAAGTGCTGAACGACGCCGGTTTTCGGAAAATTCGCGCTGTGAGGGGCCGTTTTTGAGCATTTTTGGCCCCCGCTTAACAAAATACAAAATTTGAGAAACTGATTCTCGAAAACCGTTGTCGTTCAGCCGTTTTTGAACGATGAGACGTGTTCAGAATTTGAAGCTCTATCGAATGAGCTTGTTACATAGCAAAACTCTAAGATTATCTAAAAACCATTCCTTGTTAGTTATTCTAAAACTGATTTTTCAAAAAAAAACTGTTTGGAAAAAAAATCTCGCAAAAAACGATTGGTCTTCTTAGCTCCACGATTCCGGATTCTGAAATGGCGTTAATTTGTTGTTTAGACGCCCGATGATCATTCGGGTCTACTACGCGTCCGAGACGGGCACCGCCGCCGATGTAGCCGAAATGTTGTGGCGCGACTGCAGAGCTCGCGCGTTGCCCGCCACGCTCGCCCCCGTCGATAGCCTGGCCCTGACGGTATCAAGCATTTTTCTGAGTGATTCTACTCTCTTTTTAGGACCTACACGCACTCGAATTTGCCGTGTTCGTGGTGGCGACGTCGGGCCAGGGCGAGTTCCCGATCCACTCGCGCGAATTCTGGACGCGGCTCCGCCTGAAAGCGATCCCGTCCGACTATTTGGCACAGGTGCGACTTTCGGCTTTTTGGTTCTTTGGCATTTCCGGGGGGGGGGGCTAGAAAAATTATCTAAAAACCTTAAAAACATTCAAAAGTATAATTTTTTATAAAAAATCGGCGTTTTTTGGTCGAAAATCTATATTTTGACGTTTTTTAATAGAAATTTGTGTTTTACTCGTGTTTTGGTAATATAAAACTATATTTAAACTAGAAAAACTTTAAAAAATGTTCAAAAAAGTCTAAATTTTGCGCAAAAATTGGCCTTTTTTTTATCGAAAATTTAAATTTTTGACGTTTTTGAACAGAAATTTGTAAAATTTTCACGTTTAGCAATAGTAAAAACAGTTTAGAAACACTGCCACTATTTATATTTGAAAAATTACATCCTAAAAATGTTGATCTCCCCCCGATAATGCAAAAGAACCTAGCTTTTTTTATAATGTTTTTTTTAGTTAAAATACGCGGTGATTTCCCTCGGCGACTCCTCCTACCAGAAGTACAATCGGGCCGGCCGACTTTTGCGAGCGTAAGCAACTCTGAATTTCTTTTTTCAAGGTTTAGATGATTGCAGTCGGCTGAAAAGCCTCGGAGCCGGCGAGGTCGTGCCCAACGCCCTCTGCAACGACCAGCACGAGCTGGGCATTGATGGGGCGCTCGTGCCGTGGAGGGAACAATTCTTCGAATACGTCAGGGCGTCAGCGTTGTTTCCGGTATTTTTTTTGGTCGTTTTTTTTAGCGGTATTTAATTGCTAGAAAGGTGAAAAAATATTTTAAAATCTCCAAATTTTGAAACTGTTCAAATAAGAGAGCAGAAAAAAAAATCCTATCGCTCAAAAATTAATTTTTTATTGAAATTTTGAAAATTTTGCGTATTTTTGATAATTTTGACCCGACATCAACGTTTTGACATTTTTTGTGTTTTTATATCTACGAAATTGTGTAAAATTCGATAAAAATGGTTTATATTTTTTTATGGAGGGCTGGAAAAATTGCTAAAGAATTAGTTTCTCCCTGAACAGTTCGAGCTTCTCGTTCTAGGGCGTCCTCGCCGAAGATGACGCACGACTGCTCTTGCCGCCCGCCTCCAAGTTCGAGCTGGTCGATGTTGACGAGACGGAAGAAGCCGAGGAGGTGCCCCCCGCCAAGCCCGAGCCATCCGACTTCTCGGCGGTGACGGTGCTGGCAAATGAGCGCGTGACGTCGGACGAGCATTTCCAGGTTTCGTTTACTCTATCGTTTTTTGCAGAATAATTTAGGATACGCGCCTCATCACCCTCGACAACACCTCCGGATCGTTGAGGTTTGTTTTGAAGCTTCCGGTGCTGGACTATAGTTTTTGTTCAGCTACCGCCCGGGCGACGTGCTGATGGTGCACCCGAATAACCCGGAAGAGACGGTCGACATTGTGATCGCCGCCCTCAACTACACCGACGAGGTTCGTCGGCTAATTTTGGGGGTTTTGAATATCTTGCTGGTTCTTTCGCATTATCGGGGGGAACCAATTTTATTGAAAATATCAAAAATACCGGTATTTCGACCAAAAAAGGTCATTTTTCAATAAATTTCTTTTTTTCAACATTTTTAACGTTTTTAAATAGTTTTTCTAGTTTAAATATAGTTATATTTTACGAGAAACACTCTTAATTAAGACAATAGGCTTCGCCCCCCCGATAATGCGAAAGATCCCTCTCGTTTAGCAACTGGATCGCCGAATCCGTCTCCGCCCCACCGATGCCAACATCAAATTGCCGCCCAGATGGATGATTGGCGGTATTTTTGGGGGCTTTTCCTTTCAATATCCACTTAGAATCGACGACTCTCCGCGAATGCCTCCGACGTGTCCTCGACCTGCAGCACATCCCGAAGAAGTCATTCTTCGAGGTCGTTTTACCCTTTGAAATTCAATTTTTTTTGCTTCAGATACTGTCGAAAGTGTCGACGGACGAGATGGAACGGGATCGTCTACGCGAATTCACGCTGCCCGAGAATCTGGTAATTTTTCATCGGTGTTTACAAGCAATTTTGAATTTAGGACGAGCTACTCGACTACACGACACGCGCGAGACGGACGGCCGCCGAGGTGCTGCGCGACTTCTTCCGGACGGCCGCCGGGCTGCCCCCGCAGCGTCTCTTCGACATCTTCCCCACCATACGCGCCAGGTATTTTTGCGTCTTGTTTGGAGTTTGATTCCGGTTCTTTTGCATTATCGGGGGGGGGGGGACACAAAAAGCTTTTGTATACGTCGAGAATTGGTTAGCAATTTAATAGAAAGTATTTTTATAGCCTTTCTGGTAAAATAAATTTTCCAGGGCGTTCAGCATCGCCAGCTGCCCCATCACCCACTCCGCGCAAGTTCAACTACTCGTCGGAAAGGTGCGAAAATTTTTTTGGAAAATCTTGGGTTCTTTAGCTTTCGCGGAGGTCCAATTTTTTATAACCAGCGGATGCGTTTTACATTGTTTTTAACTATTCCTAGGCATAAAAACGTTAAAAATTTTAATTAAAAACCTAATTTTAGATCGAAAAATTGATTTTTTCGACCCAAAATGACCAAATTTTCGACTTTTTCAGACATTTTTATAATTTTTTTTCAGTTTTGCTGCTTTAAATATAGTTAAAATTTACTAATAACAATGTAAAAACACTTACCGGTTCCCCCGCGAATCGTAAAGAACCAATTTTTGTTTTTTAGTGAATTGACTGGGTTTAAAACGGCATTTTTCGATTTCAGGTCGAGTACAAATCGCGGATGGCCGACCGTCGACGCGGCCTGTGCAGCACGTTTTTGTGCCGAGCCGACCCCGGGCAGCAGGTATGCATTTTCTCGTGAAAAATTCGGTTCTTGTCGTTTAACGGGGGCGGCCAATTTTTGGTTTTGCGCCTATACGTAACTGTAATGATAGGTTACGTATTTTTACACAGGCTTTAGTAGTTTTTTTGATTGCTATAAAAAATAAAAAATATAAAAATTTTTGATGATTTGCAAATGTTACTCTTTTTGCGGTTTTTCATATATTTTTGACGAAAAATTCGAAGACCCCCCCGTTAAAAGACAAGAACCAAAAATTCATAATCTATATCTTTTTCAGATGTTCGTCCGCGTGCGCACGGGCACCTTCACGATGCCCGCCGAATCGAAGCCGGTGATCTGCGTCGGGCCCGGGACCGGCGTCGCGCCGTTCAGGAGTCTACTCCACTATCGAAATGCGTAAGTTTCGGCGGTTCTCTGGACTGTTAGCGGGGGGGGGGGGGGGACCAACTTTTTCCCTGTGGGTCTCTACGGCAACAAAATATAGACATTTTTTTTAATAGTTTTGTTACATAGTTTTTGGATATAAAAATAATATCAAAATCATAGAAATTTTCGGAAATTTTGATTTTTGGGGGAAAAATGTATGAAAAATGACCAAAAAAGTCAAAATTCCGAATTCTAAAATTTGTTAACATTTTTTTGATAACTTTCAAGCAAACAAAAAACTACTAAAAACGCTATAAAAATAGTTGGAAAAAACAATAAAAAACCGGCTAAACGCCCCCCCCCCCCGCTAACAGTCCAGCACCGTTTACCCTCGTGAATTCCATGGGGTAATCGGTTCTTTCAGACTCTCCCCCACTTCCCCAGCCCCTTCAATGCTCTTCTTCGGCTGTCGTGGTCGATTGACGGACTACTACTTTCAGCTGGAATGGCCTCTTCTCAAGTACAACACGACACTCGTCGCCTTCAGTCGCGATCAGCCCGAAAAGGTACATTTTGGGGGGGCCTTCGCATTAACGGGGGGACCCGCCTCATTTCCTAAATTTTATGGTTTTTGAGTTAAAATATAGCTAAATTCTACTTTATTTTAAAATACTTGCCCCCCCCCCCCCGATAATGCAATAGAACCACATTTTGTCCATTCTGGCTTTTGAATTTTTGTTTCAGGTATACGTGCAGGATGTGATTGCGAATGAAGGGGAACATGTCTGGCGGTTGATACAACAAGGAGGTACGTTGGAACGATTCTTTTGCATTATCGGGGGGCGGCATTTTTTAATACGAAATTTGTTAAATTTGACGTTTAGATAGATTAAAAAACGGTTTAAAAAAGTTTCTGATTTTTATTTGAAAAGTTGCCCCCCCCCCGATATTGCAAAAGCACCCTTAAAACTAATCGTTTTATTTCTTCCATTTTTAGGGTCAATTCTGATCGCTGGGAGCGCGGGGGCGATGCCGAAGGCCGTCGCCGAGGCGATCGAACGGATCGGCCGCACGAATGGCGGAGAAGAAGAGGGATTTGTCGATCGATTGGAGAAGCTGGGACGGATACAGTACGAGACGTGGGACTAGAACATCCATTTTTCAACGTTTTTTGATTCCAAATGCCCTTTTTACCGGTTTTTGAATTGTGATGTGATCAATTTTCAACGTTTTTTCGGTTCTTTCGCATTATCGGGGGGACCAACCTTTTCTAGGACCCAATTTTTTGAATATAAATACAGCAAGTTTTTCTAGCCAGCTTTTACTATTCCTTGGCGCAAAAACTTTACAAATTTTCACTCAAAACACAAAAATTATCGATTTTTTGCACGAAAAATCCCGATTTTGATCAAAATTGCGAATTTCTAGTTATGTTTAAAAATACCACCCCCCCCGATAACGCGAAAGAGCCTACGTTTTTTACTTCAAATGTGCTTTTTATTGTTTCCGGACTAGGAATGTGATTTTTTAGCGTTTTTGAATGAGGATGATACGTGTATTTTTTGTAGCGAGTTTCGGATAAAGGATGAGAGTGATCGATGCGATATTTATCAGCTGCTGTCTCGCAGCGTTTCTCTACGAGTACGGATCCTTGAATTACTATGATAATGCCGCTTTCAAGGATATCGCTTTGCAGAATGCCGTTTTTTAGAATACGGCTTTTTCAAAATGCCGCTTGTTTTTAGAAATCCGCTCTACCAGAATGCCGCTTTCCAGATAATCGCTTTTCAAAATACCGCTGTTTTAGAAGCGTTTTTCAAATTCCGCTTTTTTTTAGAAACACGCTCTATCGGAATGCAGCTTTTTGGGTGGGTGACAGAAGCCCGCAGGCAGAAGCCCGATAGTACCAAATGCCCGCAGGCAAAAGCCCGAAGGCAGATGCCCGAAGGCAAAAGCCCGAAAGGTCAAAAGCCCGCACGGTCAAAAGCCCGAATGGACAAAAGCCCGCACGGACAAATGCCCGAACGGTCAAAAGCCCGCCATACATTTCCGTTCTCACAAAAAAAGATCACCAAAAAGTGGATACGTCTTTTTTTGAAGTGTAATTATTTCAAAAAAGATAGAGATTCAAAAAAGCTTCAATACTTTCGTTATTCCAATAAGTTGTTTGTTTGTCTATAAAATGTTGTTGCTCAATCTCTAGCTTTTGAAATAATTAGACTGGAAAACAGCAGAAGATGATGAGTTTTTGGTACGGAAGTGACTATCGAGTGCGGAAGGAACGACTACAAATGACGTACACGCCCAGAATTTGCGGCAATAAGGACCTAAGCAACGCGGCGCTCCATTCGTCAAGAAAATGTATCGGGCCAAAACTTCGTAGCCTTATAACTTTAAAACTAAATGGAATCTTAAAAAAGCGATTTCCAACTTTGTAGAATGGGAAAAGGCGATTCCAATGATACCAAGCACTAAGAAAACTGAATTAAAAAAGTATCGAAACGAAGGCGGTTTTTGTTGACGACTTTGTGAAAAGTGGTATTTCGGAGGGCTAACTTGCTGTTTTTGGTATCATTCGAACCGTAAAATTCTACTCTGCAATAATTCATATTGGGTTTTCATTATTAAGTCGGTTTGAAAAAGTTATAAGAGCTTAAACTTTTCGGGGCCCGCTACGTTCCGCTCCAATCGACGCTTTTGCCCCTCCCGACACATTGCCGTTTTTGGCCTGTTTGACTGGCCGTGCGTACGAACCCTGGAGAGATTTTCCATCGCTCAGGAAAAATGGTTGTTTGTGGCGGACGGAAATGTATGGCGGGCTTTTGACCGTTCGGGCATTTGTCCGTGCGGGCTTTTGTCCATTCGGGCTTTTGACCGTGCGGGCTTTTGACCTTTCGGGCTTTTGCCTTCGGGCATCTGCCTTCGGGCTTTTGCCTGCGGGCATTTGGTACTATCGGGCTTCTGCCTGCGGGCTTCTGGCACCCACCCAGCTTTTTCATAAGGCCGCTTTTTTAGAATACGACTTTTCCGTAATTCCGCTCTATCAAAATGCCGCCTTTTACCCGGATGTGTTTTATCAAAAGGCTACATTCGGTTTGAAATATCATCATTTTGCGTGACGTAACATTCGGTCGACCGGGGGGTGGACGTCTTTCTCGATAGTACACGGGATATTTCCAGTATCCCGCTTTCCAGAATGCCGCCTTTTCACAATGCCGCTTTTTCAAAATGCCGCCCTATCAGAATGCCGCTTTTTCAGTTAACGGCAAGGCCGGGAAAAAATTATTTTCCCTATGGGCTGGGCTGCCCTTTTGATGAACTATCCGAAGTGTTTGCCATTTGCCCTGAAAAAGTTCGGTCTTGAAATCAAAGAACCTAAGATCATGATTAAAATTTGTAGTTATTGTTCAGAGGTATAGTTACAAACCATTCTCTGCCGATAAAAAATATGCTTTAAGAAATTGCTATTATGATAACTCCTATCCCAATAAAAAGCGGTATTCTGATAGAGCGGCATTCTAAAAAAGCGGCATTATGAAAAAGCGGCTTTACGAAAAGGCGGCATTATGAAAAAGCGGCGATAAGAAAAGCGATATATTGGAAGGCGGCATTTTGGAAAGCGGCATTATGATAGCAAATGGTATTTACACATTTAGTTGGCTGGCGAGGGCAGCGGCTGGCTTATCAAGTGGTTTTAAGGTTAGCGCCAGGCGAGCGGGCGCTGAGAATCTTTTTCAGTTTGCGTGCGAGCTGTGGCTTTTTATTTTCCGTTTCTTTCCAGCATTTAGATAATTTTAGTTCCATCTGCCGGCCCACATGAGATTGAAGCCAGTGGGAAAATGCCGGGTTAATCGTTGAGAGGTAGTAAGGGGATTGGGGCAATTTTGTCGAATGAGAAACGTGACCAGGGCTTTGAGGCCGCGAAGTTTCACCGACAATTCGATCTCGATTCCCGGTAATGGCTTTGGCTGATGACGATTGAAGAACGAGACAAGTTCCGCCATATCCTGAAATTACGAATGAGATCCCAGTGAGAGAGAGAGAGAGAGAGAGAGAGAGAGAGAGAGAGAGAGAGAGAGAGAGAGAGCGAATACAAATAATTCCAATCTACAACAACATACCCGTTTAACCATAGATCGCTGTGATTTCTTTCGAAGTTTCTTCTTCAATGTCACAAACATTGTCCGTTCTCTACCATCCATCGGCGGTTTCTATTCATTCATTCAGTACAGTTTTTCAATTCATTTCCAATTCTAGTCAGAAAAGTATATGAAAGTACCATAGCAGCCCAATTGACAAGACGATTGACGGTAGAAAGAGTCTCGATATGACCCCCGTAGATTCCAGTATGGATGAGCAGTACGGACGAGTCGCCTATCTGGAATGATTACATTAGATCTGGCTTGTGGAAAATACTCCGATTCTCGGTGGCCCCCGGGGAATTCACGTTCCCCTTTCCGTTGACACCTTCAGAATTGCGCTACTTGCAACTCCACAGTCGCGTTTACTCAAATTTTGGGGCTCAACGCCGGTTTGGGTCAATTTTTGAGGGTGGTCGAAGCGAAAGCTTGCAAATTTGAAGAGTGACCAGGGTTGAAAAGCCGCTTCGCGACTTTTCAACCCTGGCCCCGTCTGATCCCATGGTATTCTTCACCTTGCATATTCTCGCGATTTTCGATGGCAAAATCGGAGAAACGCGGCCTCTCTTCCCTTATATAGGCTCCACGCAACTTCCGGCGTATGCTAATTGTTTCCTAACAAAGAGGGTCCTGGATTTTTCAACAAGTACTTAATTTTAACGTCGAAAACACATAATTTTTGAAAATTTATTATTGTGCAGTCATCCCAAGGCTATTACGCACCTAATGACGTAAGATGCATACACCTAGCTACCCCCCTAATTGAGATACTACTGGAACACGCTGACGGAAGTTGCATGCAAAGTGGCACGGACACACTCACACAGACACTATTTTTTTATATATACAGGGTGTCCCAAAAAAAATCGACCCCCCTCTAGCGGGCCGCAGTCATGTCCGATTTTGACGATTTAGGTATCTATCGAAAGCACACGAAAAGGCGAGAAAACAAGCACTTTTCGTTTTTCAATATGGGAATTTTAATTCATTAAATTTAGGGCCAAAATCGATGAAAACTGCAGATTTTATGCAAAATCGGCATGTTAATTGCTTGCTAAAGCAAACAGGACGATGCTGGTTTTACGCTTTTTACAGAAATCATTGAATATCGAGCGAAGGCTAAAATTTTTTGGAAAACCAAAGGCGCTTGTTTTCTCACCGTTTGAAGGGCTTTCGAATGGTGTGAAAATCATTCCGATCCGAGCTTTCTGCGGTCCGCTAGAGGGGGGTCGATTTTTTTTGGGACACCCTGTAGTAGGATTCTTGAATGTCGCCCGTTCAGGAACCATGCAAAGTGTATCGTTTCTTTCGATCAGACGGGGGCAGGGGTGAAACGCCGCGAAGCGGTTTTCCAACTCTGGTGCAGTCATCAACAATTTTTTGTAGTACCTGATCCCAGAGTGGCAGCTGTTCACTCATCCAATCATCTTTATGGACCCAGCAAGTTATCGAAGAGATTACGCCCTATAACGATTCGTCAATTTATTCAATAAAAAGACAAAACAGACCAAGACGTCAAGGGAAAAGTTGCGTTGTTTCAGCCATTCGAGCTGGAGCGACGAATGATTTGGACAAGATTTGATGAGAATCGAGTGGGGATTCTTGAGCAGGGCCAGTCGATCAAGCCGGAATTCAAACGTCTGAAGAAATACTATTTGGGGGCAGCAAGGTTCAGCCTTTGGCAAAGCATTGTGATGACTGGAAACCGCGGAGCCTATATACATAAGCAGGGACGTAGCGTCATACCGCCTCTCCCACCCCCCGAAATAGGGCAAGGTCCCAAAAGACTAGCCATTTTTCAAAACTTTTCCCCTTTTTAATAAAGTTTAGTTTTAGGAGTTTTTGTCGATGGTCTGGACGTTTCCAGTTCAGTATAGACAGTCCAAGAAAGCAATAAAAAGTTGCTATTTCAAAATTTGGCGTTGGCCGAATCCGATCTTTGTATGGGAAATGGTAAAAAACTGCCTATCTGGAACACCTGTGTGAGAGAGAGAGAGAGAGAGAGAG